GAAGGCTGTAAATCATTATGGGAGCAGAAAGCCTTATCTTTCTTCCGCGGAATAGCTGGTAGTTTCGAACTGCTGACCTTGAAGTTCGCAGCCCGATTTGTAACAAGTACGCTACCAGAACTCCTAGGTTACCTATAATTAGCTGTTTTAAGGCTCAAAATACACTTCTTGTAAGGTTTATTATAAGGATGCTTCTTGGTATACTTATATTTGTAAATAAAAAATAAATGTTAAGGGGGCCTTCAAAAAGTTCATGAGAAATGGAATTACAAAATAATGGAATTTTTCCATGAATTTTGAAGCCTCCTTGTATTATTGGCCCTCTGTAATGATGGGCTCCACAGCTACAGATTTAACCAAATCCAGTAAAAATTACTGGGGTGGCAGGGAAATAATTAAGTGGTAAAAGCAATCTCCCTCAAAGGCTATGCATTAACATTGTATTAAGTATTAAAAGTAATCTAGAGATGATTTTATGCATAGGTTATATGCAAACATTACACCATTTTATAAGACACTCTAGCAGAACAGTGGTTATGAGTCGGACTGTTCAAAACTACCAGCTGTTCCGTGGGAGATAGATTAAGCTTTCTGCTCCTGTAAAGATTTACAGCCTCAGAAACACTGTACAGGGTCTCTATGAGTCAGAACCTACTCCATGGCACATAATCACCACACCGTTTTATATAAAGGACTTGAGCCTTCACAAATTTTAGTATCCTTGGGAGAAGAGGAATATGAGTGCATTCTGGAATGAATCCTCCACAAATAGTTAAATATAACTTTATGTACGAATACTTTTAAAAACTGTTGAATTTTATATTGTTGCTTCTGATAATTTTCACCTTGAAAATATTCTTTAACTTACCTGTTGCATGTAACAAGCTGGCTTCTACTCTGTGAGGAATTCTTGGTGGAAGTCTCATAGATGCACGGATTTGGTAAAACCTAAAACAAAATAGACAAGAAAGTCATTTCAAACATATTTTAAAAATGTACAATGTCCAGTTTCTATCTATTCTATCTATCTATAAAGATAATAAAGTTGATCTGCTTTTATATCAATCTGATTATTTTTACTATTGATGCGAAAGACATCAGACACAGATCAAGTTTAGCATGATTTATTAAGAGATGAATGAGTGAAATAAAACCAACATATATGGTGTTTCCTACTTTATACAAGATAATGTTATAGCAACCTATGGCAACAGAAGGCTATCTAAGAGTTTTATTTTTTCGGTCTATGCGGTTAAGAGCTTATTTTATAGCACCACCACAGCAGGTATAAAATACTTGGGTAACTACATCTTTCTTGCAAAGCTAGGAAGATGTTGTTTTATTACTGTAGGTTCTTAAATATCTTTAAGAAAATGTCTGATGGCAAATTTTTATTTCTCTGCACATGAAATTTTTAAAACTGGGTATTTATACATTTATGTAATTTTAAAAAATATATACATTTTACTACAATATTAACTCTGTAAATCCTTTTAAAAATTTCTCCATGAAAACAATGGTCATCACAAAAAGGAAAAAAGAAAACACTTTTTACTATTACCTAGCTGAATTTACTAATTCCCTGAGGTAAACAGAAATATTAACAATTTTTATTATCAATTAATAATTATCCACAAACACCAAATATCAATTATTAATCAACAGGTAATTAAATAATGAGGACTAATACACAGTCCCTGGGTTAAGTAATATTCGACACATAAGTAAATGCATACTTATGCAAATGGTTATACATATATTTAAATTAGATACAGAAATATTTCAAAAACACAGAAACACAATATTCTTAAGCTTGTAAATTGTTGTTGTCAGGTGCCGTTGAGCTGGTTCGTACTCATAGCGACCCTCTGCACAACAGAACAGAAACATTGCCCAGTCCCGCACCATCCTCAGAATCATTATCCTCCAAAAACAGACATACAAAAGACCAGGATATGATTATTAAACCACCAATCACTCTGTCAATCTGAATCTATCTCATAGTCACTCTATATGACAGAGTAGAATTTCCCTATATGGTTTCCAAAGCTGTAAATCTTTATGGAAGCAGAGTACCTC